AAAAAACATTCACATGGTCTTAAATATATATATTTTTTTTACTTTGTAAAAATGTAAAATGTAAGGTTTGAACCAAACCATAAATATAATTTGAGAAACTAATACAGCAAATTGGAGTATTTTCTTAAGTATGTGCAATTTATATTTTTTTCAGTGTATTTTTTTCCTTAAAGTTTGTTTTTAACTCTTCAGGAACCTTCAGTTTATGGTGCCACCCTAAATTTGAAGACCGCTGCCATTCTGTGGTGGAATTCATTGAGCGAGCCATCATGCACTCTAAAAATGGGAAATTCCTCTACTTCCTACGTTCACGTGTACCTGGTAAGGCTACAAATATCCCTCGCAGACAGGATTCTCAGCCACTACTGCTGAATAAAAAGCATTTAATTTTTCTGTTTGCTGATGCAGGAGGAAATAAGGGACAAAAAGCAGTCATTTTGTTTTTTTCTTGGAAGATTATGGGTAACAGGTTTATTCACAAAGGATGGGACATAATACATTGGCTAAATATTACATTTGAATATCAACATGTCATTTTTTCACCATTTTTAAGCGGGTATACAGACAATTTATGTGTTTAAAACTAGCTACTTTTCATGCTACTTTAAATTTATGTTACATAATGTAAATAATAGTTTTAACAGATTAGATTTAGATATATTCAGTAGTTCTCGCAACAAAAACGTAATTCTTTTAAAAAAGTAATCTGGCTCCTATTTTGTATAGTATTACTTATGTACTATTATAGTATTTATTCATATTTTAAATTAGCTTTTATTTTTAGAATTCAACTTTGTATTTTAATTTAAGTTTTAGTAATTTTATGTGCTTTTGTCATTTTTATTAGTTTTTGTTTGTTTTTAAATATTTCTCTTTAGCTTTAATTTATTTTTATTTCAGGTAGTTGCCAATATGCACAGAAATATACGGAGCCCCGCACATGACATGCAAGGAAAAAATAAATAAATCGTGGACACTATTTTTTTTATTTTGAGTTGGGAATGAGTTATAGAGACATTCTCAAAAGCCTTGTAGCGTTGCATGGAATCATTTTAAGTGAGAGGCATCTACATCGCATACTAAGGATTGGACGACTTAACCGGCGACGGCACACGATTTACCTAGAACGAGCCGAGGGCACGAATTATTATATCGAGCGCACGATTTACTTAAAACAAGGGAACGAATTAGCCTATTAAATCGTGTGCATGATCTAGTATATCGAGGGAACGAATTAATAAATCGTGCCCACAATTTATTTATTTTTTCTTGCATGTCATGTGCGGGGCTCCATAGAAATAAAAGGCATTATTTATATTGTTTGTAAAAACCAAAAGCAGGTTTGAGGGTGTGCGAGATGAAAGGTCAGCGTGATGAAACGTGTGGTGTCTGTTTCAGGGTTGCCCCCGACCCCTGTGCAGCTGCTCTATCCGGTCTCACGCTTCAGCAATGTGAAATCACTCCAGCATCTGTGCCGTTTCTGCATCCGACAACTCGTCCGCATAGACCACATCCAGGAGCTGCCCCTCCCCAAGTATGACTCACTCACACTATACATTATTTTGCTTATTTACATTTCCGACACACTACCATTCAGAGGTTTGAGGTCTGTAAGGTAACGTTTTTAAAAAGTGTCTTGTGCTCACCAAAGCTGCATTTATTTGATCAAAAACACAGTAAAACCCTAATATTGTGAAATATTATTAAATGCCTTAAATGTTTTCAAATGTATTTTATTCCTGCGATGGAAAAGCTGAATTTTCAAGCAGCCATTACTTGACAATTACTGCTCAAGAAACATGTCTTAATATTATCAGTGTAAATCACTTCATCGTTGTAAATATCGACGTAAATCATTTGTTAGGATTCTTTGAGTAATAAAAAGCTCAAAAGAACAGCATTTACCTGTATGTGGAACAGAAATCTTTTTGTAATATTATGAATGTCTTCACTGTCACTTTTGATCAATTTATTGCATCCCTGCTGAATAAAAGTATTCATTTCTTTTATTAAAAAACAAAACAAAAAACTTTTGAACAGTGGTGTATATAGGAGATGCATGAAATACTAGGACTAGTTACTGACCTTCTAAAGTTTTAGGCATTTGGACACATTGTAGGTCATAATTTACTGATTTATATTAATTTACTAATCTAAATTAAGCCAAGAACACAGTTTAACATACATAAAGAATTGCCCTATTAAAAGTATTTTAAAGTAAATTCTATTCATCGAAATGTATAAAAATGATAATTAGAGTTATTTTTACAGTTATTTTTGTCAATACTGAGCAAACGTTTAATTAGTTAGTCATTTGCAGGGAGTAACGAATGCCAATGTTGTTTGGTTTTATTGAAATAAACATGTATAACATTAAGCAATTTTTAAGTTCAAAAAATACTTTGCCTACAAAGTGCCTAAAAAGACTAACTTTGATTTTTTTCATCATAGACCGCTCATTGTCTACTTGAGGAAGTTCTATTACTATGATCCAGAGGAAGAGATGTACCTGTCAATCAAAGGCATGCGCCAGGCAGCAGGTGTGGAACAGGAAGCCGAGTCTGAAACATAGCCAGATCGCTCCTTTTCACTGTACGTACCTGCAGCCATGACTGATCAACTTTCATTATCTTGTGCTCGGAGCCAGTATGTTTAAATAACAGAACACAAATTGATTGTTTTTTAGGATTTCTGTGTGTGGATAATAGATGGAACAGCGCATGGACACTTCCTGGTGCACAGCTCTGCTCCAACTCCCTGCCAGTCTTCCAACAGAAGCCAATGAACATCAGCCGACTGGCCCCTCCTCTTTGACCGAGGGAGTACAGAGGAGTGCTGGAATACTGTCTATGTTGAGCAGGCAAATAAATCCAGAGACTGACATGATAGACAAAAGACTTGAAGGGTCACTGGACAGCAAACAGTGGACTTAAAAAAAGAATTAAGTTAAACGAAAAAACGACCAAGGACATTTGACTTGGGGTACTAGCAAAAGCCTTCATCTGTAGGTTATATTACACTGGAGTTTTTCAACTGGCCAGTTTGTGAATCCGTCTCTGTTTGGTTCTTTCTTTCCTCATCAGGCCCCTGATCCCTGGGTGGAGTGTGTGACCCCTTTATTTGTCCTTTCCCTGATTGTAACTCCTTCCGTCTGATCAGGCCACATGAACTGTATTTTGAGTAAAATACAAAGTAAACTTGAAAATAAGTGGTGGTATATTTGATGACTTTTTCACATTATTTATGATTTAAAGGGGTCATATGATGCGATTTTAAAGATCATTATTTTGTGTATTTGGTGTAACAGAATATGTTGACATGCTTTAATGTTCAAAAAACACATTTAATCGCTTGAATTTTAAATGGGTCTAGCCACTGGACGTATCCATTTTTCTTTGCAAATAACTATACTGAGTTACCAATTTTTTTTAACCATCATGGTGATTCCAAGGTTTTCCTTGAAGTAGCATGGTGTTCTGTATTCAGGCAAGGCACTACAGGCAAAAACATTGTTTTTCCATGCACTGGTCAGTTTTGAGATTTTAAGAATTGGCGTTTCATAATGTTATATTTCAGACCAGTGGAAAGAAAACATCCAAAATATGCAAGTTTATTTTATCACACTTCATCTGTTTGCATCTGTAGATTTCAATTACGATATATATCTTTAAAGGCGGTTTTCTCTCCTGCACTGAGCAAGAAATCTCCACTTCAGAAGCGCTTACATACAACAAACTTTCCAGTCTTTCCTATTTATATTCTGAAGGTTTGTTCATATATCATTTGCCTGATTTTATGCAACATTTTATTTCAAAAAACATAGTGAAACGTTTTTGTTCTGGCTATTTTCTGATTCATGGGGGTGATTAAAAGATATATCCAACATCCTCTCTGTAAAAACCACTCTATAATATGTCAACAAAATGAAAGAATTTTGAACCTGGCTTCATCTAATGTTCAGAATACTGTTGTGGAAATGTATGCAAATTACTTCACATTTAATCATAACTTTTCATAAACATTTGTAGTTCTAAATGTAATGAATCAACAATATAATCAACTGGAAAGGTATGGTGATATCTATTAGTTACATTTTTACCCTTTTTACCTGAAATGCCTTGCCTTAATACCATGGGATATGACTGTGATAATCATTCAGTATGATTGTATTACTATTTGCTACTGTCATTAAGTCATGGTAACACTACAGTCCTTTTTTGTGTGAGACATCATGCACAATTAACAAACTAAATACGGACATTGCATGCATGGACTTTTATTGTTTTGATATACAGCTAGTTCTATAACCCAACCCTAACAGAAAACTTTCTGCTTTTTTACAATTTTAAACAAAACCTTTGTATTTATAATTTATTTCCAACTGTGCAAGTCCAAAAAAAAAGAGGTTCTGCCAGATTTCATTCACTTCTGAGTACAAATTTGTCTCCAACATATGGTTAAGTATGAACACACATTTTTCCATCCTTTGGTTTTATATATTCAGCTAACAGTGCCTAAACATTAAATCTAACTAATATTGTGGTCACTAAACAATATGGCATATACAAAATGTAAAATGTCATGTTGAAAAGTCAAAGATGCACCATATATAACAACCATATATTCTTATGGAGCACCTGCTTTCATATTGCAATAGAAAAGTAACAGAGTGAACACAGGCTGATCGATCGAAATTCTTGTCAATTACTTTTGATTGATATGCTTTACCCATTTCTAACTGGGCGAGCTAATCGTCAGTGAAATTCAAGCCTGTATATTATTGACTCGGCTTATTATTTTGACTGCCTCACAACGCCCACCTTTCTCCTGAAAGCGTGACAATCTATTGGCCAAAAATATATCCTTCAGCTGTCATAGAAAAACTACCTTATCTTATTGGCCGGAACAAACGTCAATCAGACAAATGCCGTACTGTGATTGGTCAGGACCGCGAACTCGCGTTGATTGACAAGCAACCTGATTGGCCAGAGGTCGCGGGTGGGGCGGTATCTCGTGTGGGCTGTTCAAGGCTTCACGGAGAGTGAATGTCGTCATGAGCGGTGGGTAGGAATTATAACGTTGGTGTTTATATTACTATGTTACTTTCTTAAACATTTTCTTGAGCGAATAAACCGATATATATATATTTTATGTCGTAGGTAGCACACACGAATTAAAAAAAAAAACATGCGTAGCATGGCGATTGTACCAAATGCACACTTCCGGAATCACGGTTCTTTTCCGCAGCGAAGAGTTTATCTGGCTAGTTAGCACTTTAGCATGCTAAGCTAGCAGTTTCCTCCTCCATCAGCGCACTCTTGAGTCTGTCTGCCCGCAGACAGAATAACCTTTGAATAGCGCACTGCATGCTCGTAGAAAGACGTAAACGTGTAAACGGCTGGTTAAGACATAATATAACGTGAGGTTAAATAGATATTTTAGAGAATTCAGTTAGCATAACTCAACCACTTGCAGGCATCTGACGTTTAGCCCGTTGGCGTTAGCCGCTGGTTTCAGCTTGCAGCTTTAACTAAACTGTATGTTGCTTTTATATAAGCTTAAAAACACCACTTCCTTCTCTCCAACCACGAATTTTGCTGTAAATAAACAAGCGTTGGTTATTAGCGTCTGTGCCCTGCTTTTCAGCCTGATTAGCTTGTTATGAGAGCAAGGTATTCTTCAAGTAAAGTTGCAAAACCGTTAAATATGATGGCAGAAAGCTCACTGTGGTGTAATTCCCTTAGACTTGCTATGATTTTGATCCCGTTCAAATAAATGTGGATAAACAGTTCATTTTGCTAGCTTTGACAGCCAATTAGCAAGCACAATAACGTCAAGTGTTTATTTGGGTTGGGATCTGAGATACATGCGGGGTCAATGGGGTCAGTGTTGGGTGTTTACCATAGATGTGTATATACTAGAGCAGCGGCTCTCAGTCCTAGTTCTGACGAAGCCCAGCACTTCAGGACCAGGATTGAGAACATTTTATGGTGTGCTATTAGTGGATTGAGTTTTAAACCCTGTCCCGCTGACTCTTAGATTATCACAGGTAACGCCTCCTTAGCTACACTGTCATAACTGAAAGTGCATGCCTTTCTGTTTTGTTTATTTTGCTTTGAACAGAACAATCAGATTATTTGATTTGTTCAGTATTTCCAGTTTCTATGCAAACATTGATCACAATGCACAGTCTAAGCACAGGATTCATTTGACTGTCCTGCTGCATTATTTCACTGTCAAATGGAGATTGATTGATTGGAGAGTTCTGATGTTTTCTTTGCATTAATAGATTCACCTTTTTCTCACAGATCAAAAGGACAGTATGGCCACCACTGTCGCAGTCAGCCCCAGTGAATATCTTCAGCCCTCCACCAACACTTCTCAAGTAAGGTCCCATCTGTCTGTATTTGTAGACTATATTTTAGGGATGCTTTGATAATAAAATTTTAACCCGATAAGCCAATAATTATTTGAATGTTATCAATGAAATGTAAAGAAGTCATTTGAAATGCTTTAATGAAACTACCATTACTGGTTATATACTGGTTCTCAATATATGTTTTTATAAATTTCATATTATGACATTCAGATAAAATATCTCAGAAATATTGAGAAAAATCTTCCATTTGCTATAGTTAGTATAGTTCAAATTACCATTTTTAATTAATGAAAAGGAGATAACTGTAGAAAGTTAGTCAAACTCTGTTAAATATTTCCTGCTGCTAATTGTGTATCAACACTCTCTCATGTAGGATTCACAGCCCTCCCCGCTGGCACTTCTGGCGGCTACCTGCAGTAAGATCGGGCCTCCGGCCGCCCAGGCCCCAGTCAGCACGCTACCGTCTCAGCCAACCACGCGTCGTCTGCACCCCATCAAGCCCGCCCCCATTGCCCCGGCTCCACCCAAAAACCTCGGATTCCTCTCAGCAAAGGGAAATGTTATCCAGCTGCCCACGGGACTTGGTTCGTCAGGGGCCAGCCCTATTGTCTTCACTATTCAGAGCCCTTCACGTCCAGCAGGCACATCCACTGCCAACATCCAGTACCAAGTGATTCCTCAGTTCCAGGGATCTCAGACCATTCAAATGATGCCTCAGGGAGGACAGATCCAGATCATCCCCGGAACCAACCAGGCCATTATCACCTCACCCGTCACAGTTCAGGCTGCCACACCACCTCTGGCCCCGGCCCCCCAGCAGAAGACGGTGGCGATCAAGCCGTCTTCTCATAAGCGGCGGCAGAATAATGCCAGCGTAAACGCTAACGTTGTACGGCTCCCCAGTGGACTCACGCTCCCATTCAATGTTAGTATGAGCGAGGTGGGAGGAGCGCAGGTTGTTACGGAGACTGCTGCTGCTCCAGTGAAGGGCAAGAGGGGGAGGAAGAGACAGGTGGCTATAGCCATGCCCACCCCGACCCCTCAACCGGCCTCACCACCACCCGTAGCTGAACAGATTGAAGCCTTGCTAATAGAGACCACAGCCGACAACATTATTCAGGTAAGTGTTTTTCTGATATATATATATATTTTTTTTTTTTCAATTGCTGGTTTCCTGGATGTTGTCTCATCTGACAGATTTCTACATCAAAATTACCTTTGTGGTTTACACTGTTCTATGTTGGAATGTGTCTCAAGGGAAAATCAAGGGATTTTCAGTTATTTTGTTTTTGTTGTGCAAAGGTTGCACAAAACAGGTCCTGTTCACCCCAAAATTTAAAACACACCAAGATGTGATATTATTCTTAAAACTCTGCCATTTTTAAGATTTTTTGGATCATGACATTATTATACATGACACTTAAGTATAGTGGTCGACCGATATAGTTTTTTTGACTGCCGATATAAATTTATTTATTTTAATTGATATTTAAGAAATTTGAAATCATTTGAAAATGGATTAAAAAATAAATATGTTAAATAAACATACTTAAACTTTAGATGACAAAGTATATCACAAATAAATAAATATTTAATAAAAATATAATTAAAAAGGAAGTAAACACTGTAACCAACAGGGCACTCAGTATTCTGGGAAGTTTGTGTGCATTGGGAATCATATTTTTTCAAATAAAGCCAAGGTAACACTCATTTTACATACAGCACACAGTAGAAATTACATGAATATGGCAGTGGGCAAATACATAAAGCGCAGCATAATTTGAAATCACAAGTTTAAAGTTTTTCCAGTGACGCTGAACTCACCTCCTGTCCGCGTTCAGTTTCGCACATTTTCTAGAGGGACATCTATCACGTTGCACTCGCGTCTCGCACAAAAGAGTGTTTAGAAAGCCATGTAAAATTAATGCAAATTTAACTTTGAAAAAACATATCTCGAGACTAGGGCTGCACGATAAATCGGAATCGAGATCGCGATTCGACAGAAGGCGATTTTTTTTTTGCGTAACTTGTCAGTGAACTACAGCTCTGTGTAGAAAAATTCTGCTCCATCTGAAAGCACGTGATGATGATTTCCTGCTGAATGTACTTTGTGTGATTGGCTTTTGGCCCTTTGTATTAAACTATGCATACATACATGATGCTGTTTTGTTTATAGTTGTTTAAGCAACTTAATTATAATTGGTTTATAAACATTATTTTAAACATTATGCACTGTTTTTCACAGATAGTCATGTTATCTTATGCTTTGAATAAACATGCATTAGTAATATTTTGCTTGATGCGCCCTCTTGTGGCCTCAGAAGAGAAGCCAAAAGCTTTTCTTTACCCTAACTGAAATTATGCATTTTAAATTCGAATATAATTCAAATTTTGATAACATTTAAGTACAAAATTCGAATTTAGCTTTTCAGCCATTTTGACAACCCTATTTGACAGTCATTAAAAAATACTGCATTTCATTAATTGTTCATTTACTATTATTTATTATTATTTACTATTGTTGTTTTTATGAAAAATATTTTTAGAAAAATTAAGAGAACTTAGTATAAAAAATATTTGTTGTAATTTGCTGTGATCATTTTATTTGTTTTTTATTTTATGTTCAAGTAACTTATTTTCATTTTGGTTTTAGTTCACTTTCAGTTTTTATTTATTTCCATTTAGTATTTTTAATGCTTAAAAATGTTAAATTCCAGTCTAAGGCAACATTTTTGTTTAGGTTTTAATGCAATATTTATATTTCATTTCAGAATTATTTTTTAGTAATACCAGTGTTGTAATGGTTTTATTTGTGGTCAACAAAAATTATCTTAATTATAATTATAAGAATGTAATGATGAGGATCACAATTGAGAATATAAAAAAAAACTATAAATGGAAAAAAAAAAAAGTTCAGAATTTGGTGAATTTTTTTGTTGTTGAGTGAATTATGAATTTGATAAAATTCACCCCTGATGTATGCAGGCAGCTGTTTTTGTTGATTGCGTATGTCCCTAATAATCTCTTCCTGTCCCAGGCAGGAAATAATCTCCTGATCGTGCAGAGTCCAGGGGGGAGTCAGCCTGCCGTGGTGCAGTTGGTGCAGCAGAAATCAGATCAGCAGGTCGTTCAGATCCCCCCGCAGGCTCTAAAAGTGGTACAGGCTGCCTCTGCCACACTTCCCCCTGTACTCAGCAGAAATCAGATCAGCAGATCGTTCAGATCCCCCCGCAGGCTCTAAAAGTTGTACAGGCCGCCTCTGCCACACTTCCCCCTGTACCACAGAGACAGACAGTCACGCCCAGTATGCAGGTGTCCCCCCCAGAACCCACACAGGTACATCAGAAAAGCACTTTTTGTTTTTTTTTCCTCTTTATGGTTTAATCAAGTTTAAACTAGGGCAATTAAGATTCCATTGCTAAAAAAGTTAAGAAAAATCAACAATTATCTAAAGATGTCATGCATGTGCTCTGCTCTCCCAGGTGCTGATTAAAACAGCCTCAGGTGAATGGCAGGCTGTACAGCTACATGAGACAACTGTTACCACGCCAACAACACCCACCAACACGCCCACATCTGCCATGGCCACTAAAAAGGCTCAAACGGGGACAAGGAAAGAAAGGACTCTCCCTAAGATCGCCCCGGCTGGAGGGGGGCTGATAACACTGAACGCAGCACAGCTGACGTCTGCTGCTCAGGCAGTTCAGACCATCAATATTAATGGTGTCCAGGTGCAGGGTGTTCCTGTGACAATCACCAACGCTGGGGGTGAGTGAGTGAGTGCTTCATTTCGACAGACATCCAGCTTGTGATGTGATATTAAAGGGGTCATATGATGCTTTTTTTAAAGATCATTATTTTGTGTACACACAGCGTCTCCCTGACATGGCTGCTTCAACACTAACTGCAGTTACTGAAACCACACCTTCTTTCTTTGCTTGAACATTTGGGCGGCATTACGCAAATATTTCCACATAGTGAGGTAGATATGTGGGGGCGTGTTAGAACGAGCCGTTTTAGGGGGGCGTGGCAGAGTCTTAACTTTGATAAAGAATATCTCTTTGGTTATGAGACTTTAGTCTTTGCAACTTCAGGGATCTTATCTATGCACAATCAGCTTGTAACACTCCAAAGAGAAAGGAAAACTTGAAATCGCATCATATGACCCCTTTAACATGATCTTGGCTGCATTTTGACTGGTGTCTTTTAGGCCAGCAGCATCTCACAGTGCAGACGGTTCCAGGTGCGGGTCTGCAGCTGGGCGGTGTGCAGACACAGATGCAGACCATGCAGGTGGAACAGACACAGACACTCGCACTGGAACTGCAAAGTCAGCCAGGAGAGAAAAAGCGGCGCATGGCCTGCACCTGTCCGAACTGCAAAGACGCAGAAAAGAGGTGGGAAAACTTCACATATAATGGGTTTGTTTGTAATTGGAGTAATGTAGGTCTGGGCGATATGGCTAAAATATCACAATTTGATTTTCCCATGTTATTTGATATTGATATTTATTACAATATTAATTTGATACTGGTAAATGAGCAGTTCACCCAAAAATGAATGTTTACCCTCAGGCCATCCAAGATGTAGATGAGTTTGTTTCTTGATCAAAACCAATTTGGAGAAATGTAGCATTCCATCACTTGCTCACCAATGGGATCCTCTGCAGTGAATGGGTGCCGTCAGAATGAGAGTCCAAACAGCTGATAAAAACATCACCATA